AGGACAGTAAATCAGTGAACAAATAAGTTAACAGGGTAATTGCAGATAATAGTAAGTACAGTAGTTCTCTGAGGCCATCTGGAGGAATAAGGGCCACTACCTTACATAGGGTAGGTGGGGAGGCCTTTCTAAGGAAGTGATATCTCCTGAGCTGAGACAGTAATAAAGAGAAGGGGACCAGCCTTCAGATAGCCAGGAGAACCTCATGGGTAGAGAACAGCAAGTGTGAAGGGCCTGAGGGGGGAATGAGCTAAATATAGTTCCTTAATTCAGATTGTTAACATCCAGATAAAATCACTTTATCTAAATTGTGTGGAGCAGATGTGTAGACAATGTGTATGAGCTTTTTGAGTGGAGTACTTGTAGGTATAGCAGTGAATCAAAGTGTAAGATTATCAACCTCATTGCTAGTTATTCTTTAGTAAACTGGGTGTGACAATGCTATTTGGCTATAATTGTTTGACTCAACTAATAATTCTGAGATTTTGAGATGAAGAGGCTAGAAGCCAACATGTTTGAAATTTGTGAGGTCTGCAGCCTGCTGTCTCCATCTATCCTACAACTAAATCAACGTTTGCTTTCTGAATCTGTCTTCTCTATTTTGTTTCTTTATTTTTCTCTATTATTTGTCTATTTTTCTCTATTATGATAGTTTCACTACCTGCTCTTAAAAATGCTGCGCACTAAAAATCACATTTGTCGGAAGGAAAAAAGGTCTTGAACTTAAAGTGGGATACTTCTGCAAGAGGCTGTAATTTAGTATTGTAACATGAAAAACTAAGGGATTTTTTGTGTGATTATTTAAACCAAACACTTGTCGTTATTACCGTTGTCAAGTCTGATAACAGATAATCAGAATTCTGTATTTGGTGTTCTTAATGGGGAAGTTTGAGCATTCTAAGAAATGAAAAGAAGAGTAAAGAGATGGGGAACCTTTTAATCTCATCATTTCTGGGGGCGCGGAAGAATTTCGCAAAGAATGATTCCCACAAATCTTACATCTTCAGAGTGATGTCCTCAAAGGACAGTATACAAAATCCTTTTTTAAGAAGGATAAAATTGTATTTGCTATGTACAGTTCTGAACATTGAATTTAAAATGATGCATTTCACTAAGGTGGCCTTGGGGTACTATTTTAAGCTAATTTCTTCATGTGCATATCTTTAGCAAGTCAAGGCATTAATGATTTATTCAGGATATGTAAGTAAGATATTTTTGTGCATTAATGGAAAGTCTCATGTTTAATAAACTGGAGTACTGTCTGTTGGCGACTGCATGTCTAAATATATTCATTTTGGTACACTAAACCTGATTTAGGGTTTGCCTAAAGTAATGTGTTTTGCTTATAAGAGCCCCCCTTTTCCATCTTCTTTTTAATAGCAACATGACAACACAGACGAGTTTGGTAGCTGAGTCTGAAAGTTCACAGCACCAGCAGGAGGAGGGAGAGGGAGCCACAAGCTCAGGCCAACAAGAAACTCAGCTGGAAGAGGTTTCTCAAGCCGCAGTTGAGGGAGATAACCAGTGTGAGCTGAAGCTGAAAACATCTAATGGAGACACTCCCATACATGAAGACTTGACCAAGAATAAGGAGCGGACATCAGAAAACAGGGGCCTGTCACGGCTGTTCTCCTCATTTCTCAAAAGACCTAGATCTCAGGTCTCTGAGGAAGAAGGCAAAGAAATCGAGTCAGCTAAAGAGAAAGGTGAAGGAGGTCAGAAAGAGATAGAATTTGGAACCAGTCTTGATGAAGAGATCATTTTAAAGGCCCCAATTGCGGCTCCTGAACCTGAACTCAAAACAGACCCATCCCTGGATCTTCATTCTTTAAGCAGTGCAGAAACACAGGTAAGGATGTGAGAATGGGTGGAAGGTGGATATAATGAAGGTAAGTTACACACTTTATTTTTCCATTTAAGAACATTTAGTTTTATTTCTTATTAGCCAGTTGATTTAGGCATTGATAGTGGTAAGTAATACGAAGTTTGGAGTTTCTGCTCTAAAGAAATTAATATAGTCATTGGGAACTTAATTTTTTTTTGGTATCATTAATCTATAATTACATAAAGAACATTATGTTTACTAGACTCCCCCCTTCACCAAGTCCCCCTGACATACCCCTTCACAGTCACTGTCCATCAGCATAGTAAGATGCTGTAAAATCACTACTTGTCTTCTCTGTGTTGCACAGCCCACGGGAACTTGATTTTTATAATGATTCTTAACACTATATAAATCAAATCAAAGAAAAAACACAACGAAAGAATTTATCAAATGAGTTTTCAGCTTATACATCATTTTGCTATAGTAATGGAATGAGTCCAAGATTTTTAATGAAGGAATAAAAAAGAGAGGTGGTGTCTTGCCAATGGGTTTCAGCCCTGGGCAAGTTCCCTGTGGATTCAGTGTGACCAAAGAAATGACAGTAAAATGTTCTTGGGTTGAAAGGGTTATACCTAACTTTGTTTCCACGGTGGCAGGTCAATTACTAAAATCCCGTTCACTCAGAGCAAGTCTGCATGCAGCAAGCCGGTCTCTGCCTCTCCGCCGACACAGCCGTCCTCTGGGCCTCTCGGCTCCACGCAGCCATCTCAGTCTCTGTCCTCGGCACTGCTGCCACTCCAGCCTCTGCTCTCCTGCACCCTTGCAGCTGCGCCATCATGTTGCCCAGAGCTCTGGGCAGGGCTCTTTATATACAGAGTCAGTAAGAACGTATTCCTCACACATGTGTAGTGAGCTAGCCAACCAGGGCCATGTAAGAATTCTGGCCACAGGAACCTTCATTTTATCCACAGGTGGTTTAGAGTTCATTTTGATGGAATTATTAAGAATGGGATAGTATATCAGCAAACATGGTCCTATTATGGAAATCTCTTAAAAGCTATGTAATAGAGTCAAGCCATCCAGAGGTATGTGATAGGTTTGAGCTATGCCAACTTATCTCTTTCTGCAACTAGATCATTTTATCACAGAGTGTAAGTCTAGCTCTTTATTTCACCTTTGTAATATATAGGACTTTGGTGCTTTGTGCACAGTGTAGTTAAACATGAGTTTGAAAATTTGTTCATTTGTCTAAAAAACATGGGAAAAAATTACGGTAACTCAATTATTTTCTAGAAATCTCATTTGTTTTCAGTCTTACTATCTACAAATAAAGAGTTATTTTCAAAGTCTTTTTATTTCTGAAGCATGTGAGCATTATCTCATTGTTAAAAGTACAAATCCTATATGATTTCTGTTTTAGGTCTCAGGTTTGGGCTATGCGGTTTTATTAAAATTTTCATGTTACACACTTCTAGAAATATTGTATATTAAAAGAGCTAAGAGTAACAGTGAAGTGAAATGAGGTTGAAAACAGTATTTACTATATAGTGTAAGAGGGATGCAGGCTATGGAATCAAAGTAGAGGGTTCAAATCACAGAGAAGTGACACTTGCTTTATCAATTCCCTCTGTATAATTAAGATAGTATCTACTCCATTTGGCTACTATGAGGATTAAAAGAGATAAACATGTAAGGCTCTTAAGACATTTCCAGGCATATAATAAGCACTCACTAAATGTTATTCTTACTCAGTTAATAAACATAAGCAGTAAAGGCAAAGAAACCCTATATATTTTAACACTATTGATTTTATTTTAGGAATATCAAAAGAGTTAAGTGATGTTATCTTCTAGGAAGTCTGGTACTTTTTTTGAAAAATTAAAGTATCAGTGATTTGCAATCTTACGAAGGTTTCACATGAACAACATTGTGGTTTCAACATTCACCCATGTTATTAATTCCTTACCCCAGTCCCCCTGCACTGCAGTCACTATCAGTATAGTAAGATGCTGTAGAGTCATTACTTGTCTTCTCCGTGCTGTACTTCCAGGAAGTCTGGTACTTTCAAGAGGTTTTTAACTGCTTTTTTTCTCCTCTGCCTTATGTAGGGAAATATCTGTATCTTGTTTTAATTAGCATTTGAATCAGGGCCAGTTTATTTTGTCCAAAGATCATAGCAGTTATACTGAAGTTACAGCATGACAGACAGGGTTAAATTTATATTTAACTAAAATCTCATTCATCGAGACTTCATTAATTCAGAATTGAGATAAACTGTGGTAGGCAGGTGTTTGTCTATATATAAAGAAAAAGAAACAAAATAATACTGTTAATAAAATTTCAAGAGATATTGTTTAAAGGAGCAAACTATTTGGGACTTTTTGGAAGGTAGTATTTACAGTCAAAACTTGTGAATTAGAACTTTGTGGGAAAAGGTTATTAGCTTAATTATGCTTCTGTATATGTAGTAAAACTTTATTTGAGTGGTCCTTTTCTATCCAGGATTTTTAAAAAACTTGAGTTTGCCTTATAGGACTACACCAGTCTTCATCTAGGGTTGCTTGAATTTTTTGGAAGCCATATGTTAATTTTTAATTTTTGTTTGCTTATTACAAGTACTTATTGAAAACATACTGTGTGTGCCAGGCCCTAAGGTGGATATACATTGGCGAATAAAAACTACAGTATGACAAAGAGGTTTAAGGTACATGAATTCTGGAGCCACAATGGTATGTAACTCTTTAACTGAATGATCCTAGGCAAGTTACTTTAACTTCTGGCCTCAGTTTCGTATCTGTCAAGGTGGGATAAGAATAGTACCCTCCCACAGCATTATTATGACATAAAAAGAGTTCCTTTAATAATGATTTTAGAACAGTACCCCATTTTAATTGCTATATAAATGTTTGCTATTATTATTATAAAACAAACATTTCTACTCTTGATGACTTTATAGTCTAATGGAGGAGACAAAAAAGTAGTAAATACAAAAGACTTATTTTAGTAATTATTATAATAAATATTTATTATTATGAAATATATTACAAAATACTTATTGTAATGTTATAAAGGCATCTAAGAGGATACTAATATGATGAGTAGTAGAGCTGGGATACGGTAAGTAGGGTAAACAATGAAGGCCTCTCTGAAGAAGTCGCAATTAAAAAGGGTCATGAAGGATGGGAAGGAACCTTTTAACCACTTCCAATATCAATGTTGAAGCCAAATAATTAAATAAATTTTTTCCTAAATGTCAATCATGTATTCTTCTGAAAGATAAGAGTTAGTGAGGTTAGAAATCTTTCAGCAGTTGTATTATATTGAAAGTAAGAAAGTGTATGCTAAAATACTATCTCACTTCCATGTATTACTTTTCGGATGACTTCGTGATTTCCCTAGGAGACCCAAATTTCAGTCTGTTTCTTGCTTCTTTGAATCTTCTTTGCATTGAGCATGATACTTGGTAGAAAGGTGTTAACTGGTAGTTAGAGTTGTTAGCCCAGTATATAGGTTGCTTTATGCTCTAAAATTGGTCCTTTTCACCATTCGTAAAATTTAGAATATGTGACAAATCACTTTACATTTTGCAATTCATAAGCCTATCTTCCCAAAATTGAGGGGCATGGGGCAAAGATATTAAAGTTTTGGCAGACTTTAATAATATATAATGGCATAGCCAGGAAGCATATATAATGCTGACAGCCATGGATTGGTGTCCTCTGTTTACCTGGAACCTTCCTTTATTGATTTGAAAGATGGGATTCTACCTGAGAAGTTTTGAGAATCTGTAGATCTTTTAGGAGATAATAATATCTTTCATAGAAAAGAATTACTTAATCTTAATATCACTTGTATTTGTTTTATCCATTTTTCTTCTTCAGTGAGTGCTTTATTGTTGGTCATAGGTAAGAGTGTATACAGTATGTTTTGTGAAATGTCTTTATTACTGACTTGGTGATATCATGGATATGTTAGCCTGCTCAGGAAGAACGCAGAGAAGATCCAGACTTTGAAACTAAGGAAGGAGTACTTGAAGAGTGCTCTAAAATAGAAGTCAAAGAAGAAAGTCCTGAATCTAAAGCTGAAAGAGAATTAAAAGCTCAGAAATCAACCAGAAGACACAGAAACATGCATTGCAAGGTTTCTTTGCTGGATGACACAGTTTATGAATGTGTTGTGGAGGTGAGTGCATTTTAATTTCTGCAGTCAGAACTCTGATAAATTGTTCCATGTGGGGTTGGGTAAATGGTGCCATGGCCTGAAACAAGACCCAGTGTAATGACTTTTTCTGTGGACTGAAATGCTAATAGTGATTTTCTGGTGGAAGTGAGGAAGGATCATGATGGATGGTCTATTGATATAATTATAGGTTAACTATTATTTATCCTATAATAGTTATAATATCCTATATATATATACTTAGCATGAGTGAGTCTTGTTTTCTTTTACAGTTTTTTCTGTATCTGCCAAATCTTGTGAATTGAGCATGTGTTACTTTCATGACCTAAAACAATTTTCTTAAAAAGTTGTTTTGTTATTTATAAGGTGACTTTCCATGACTAGAGTTCCCAATTTCTGATATTAGATCAGCTACTCCAATAATTGTATTTGTCCAAAAAAGTTACTGTCTGTTCATATGTGCTCTCCCACACCTAAACTTGAATAAACTTTAGTGTATTTCTTTAGCTCCATAGCCAGGATATGAAAATTTTAATCACGCAATGCCGTTTCTTAAAAATTCTCTATTATTTTGTGAAAGAATAAGTAATTGAATCAGTATTGAACAAGAAGATGGCTTGTAATGTAAGAAGCTGATAAAAGCAAGTTAGTCCTTCAAAGCAAGTGAAAATCCTTAAAAATCTTAACAATTTTTTTAATAGAGCAATAATTGTCAATTATATGCTTGATATAAAGCAATTGTTGTGATTATTACTAATAATAGTCTTCACTGATGAGACAGGTAATTCACATATTTTTATCTTCGGTGTGCAACAAATTATTTCTGAATTAAGTTATTTATATACAAATGCAAATATGTCAAAGCACAAATAGTCTAAAGTATCATACTCTATTTATTAGGAGGTTTTCCTTCTCCAAGTAAAAAAGAAATCAAGAAAATATACTATTATACTTTGAAAATAGCTACTTCAGCTAGTAACTAGAGGAGACCTAGGGTCTGTTTTTTCTGCTTCCTACCCCTAACTAGTTTAGGGATGGAGAAAGCTATTCCATGCTCATTCTTCCAATTCTGAACAAGATCCAGATATGGGTCACTATATGTGAAACATTTGAAGGCAGATGTGTTTCAGAACTTAGTATATTTTAGATTTTAGAGGGAGTAAGTATATATTCTGTGTATTTCATAGTGTACCCAGCAGAGTGTGTAGCACTGCCTGCATGATGAAACACATTATTTGTGTGGTGATCAAACACATTATTTGTGTGGTAAATAGATGAAGATTCATTCTAAGTTGGATAAGTAGCCTTGTAACAGTTCAGGTTAGAATTTGCCTTCAAATGAGCTTTGACAAAACAAAACAAAGACCCAATTTTTTTACTTTTTAGAACTTCTGGATTTTAAAATTATAAATAAGGGAGGATGGACCAATATGTGAAGAGTTCCCAAATCATCTCTGTCATTTGGAGTGAAAACATAAGAGGGAAAAAAAAGAAAACATAAGAGGGAAAAAAATGAAGAAAATGATATAATAGAGATGGGTTAAGTCTGAAAGTGAATTAATATCTATGTGAATTAGTAAAGTCATTAAAAATAACTCAGTTGAGAGAAGGGCATGTCAAACATGTGTGCCAAAAAGGGTTTCTAATTTTTTTTTAAGTATTTAAAAAATTTCTTTGAATTCATTAGCATGTTTGATTTTACCCAACAATTCCAGTAGACAGGTAGGACAGATGTAAATAGTCTCACCATTTTACAGATGAGAAAGCTAATGGTCAGAATATTAATTGAATTGGCCCAGGTTGATTAGTAGTAAATGGAGTAGCCAGCACTTTTTGACTTTAAATCTCATCCTCTAAATCAGGGCATTCCTCCCTATAAATGGAATACAAGTACCCAGACATTTGGCTAGAGAATGATAGGGTCTCTAATGATTTCCATAGCCACTATTAATTGTGAGTGTTGACAGTTGATTCAGATAATTCAGGTGGTCATGGTGACTGACAGCCCATAGCAAACTTCAGGAAATGTCACACCACAAATAAAGAATGTGGTGTTGAGGATGGAAGTGCTGGATGCATTGATGGAGGGAAGGTGGACTTTTCCTTTGAATTGGAACACTATTTCCAAATCACTGTAAATGTGTTACATATTTAAGCTGACAAATTAAGAAACAGGATTTTCATTACTTACATTCCTACTTACAATGTACAGCCATCTGAAAGTGTTAGTAACCAAGGATAAAGGAGGAAATTGGAAAGTGACATTTTATTTATTTATTTTGTGATTATCCATGAAGATAGGAGTAAGAGGAAACCGCAACTGAAGTATGTTTGTCTTTTCAGAAACATGCTAAGGGACAAGATTTGCTTAAAAGAGTGTGTGAGCACCTCAATCTCTTGGAAGAAGACTACTTTGGTCTAGCCATTTGGGATAATGCAACCTCTAAGGTGAGAAGACGGCTTGTGATGTAAGAAGCTGATAAAATATTTGTTTTAATTCTTTTACTGTTAACAATGTATTTATGCCTACCTCTCCAAGACATGGTATACTTAGAGTTTTTCTATCTATTCTTGTTTCTCAGATTTTCCCTCTAGAGTGAACATACTAAAGAAAAGACCATTTCTGCTGTCTTCTTTCATCATCTGGAGAAAGTATCTCCAGTATGTTTTTAAAAGACAGGGAAAGTACAGAATTATGATGTACTGATTAGCAAGTAGATACCAATAACTTCATGTATTACACAATTAATATTGTATCTAATATGTTGGGGGTTCATAAAATTTGACGAATAGATGTTCTGTCTATATTATGTTTATAGGATAATTATGATGTATAGTTCTATTATATCTGAGAGTAACATTACAAAAGAGAATAAAGTCCTAATATTACTTAAACAGCCATACAATGAATCTGACATTTTCTTCCATGCTGAAAGGAAGCTAGTTGTTGACTTTTGAAGGAAGTAAAAGAAAGGGAGCATGGAGGAATGAAGAAAGGTTAAAAGTCAGGTACTTACTTCAGAAAATATAAATTATTTCCTGGGTCGATTAGCTGAAAATCACAAATATTTAGCTTAAAATCTAATGATGAAAACTTTGGTTTGATAACTATTTACAGGTATTATATTAGATGACTTGCATACAGCTGTGAACAAGGTAGAGCTGGTGCCTGCCCTCTGGAGCTTACAGTTTAGTGTGATGAGTGTTATACAAAAAGGAAGTACATCTTCACTGGGGCAGTGATGCCTCAGCTAAGACCTGAGGAATAAAATGGGCAAGTAAAGTGGAGCCAGAATGGCGCATGTGAAAAGAACTGGAGTTGAGAGACTGGCATTTGAGGAACTCAGAGCCATCTAGCCTGGCTAAATATAAGGAGTGAGAAACAGAGTAATAAATGAATCTGGAGAGCTATACAGGAACCAGGTCATGTAGAGAGAGTCTTGTATATAGTGTCTTCAAGCTATTTTAGTTGGTTTTCTCCAAGATGATTTATATTTATTAAGAAAAATTGAGGGGCAGCAGCCTTTAACAACTGCAAACTCTATGATTGGGTTGAGTTAGATAATGCAAACTAGAAGATACGATTATCCTTTGCCTAAATAAAATCTATTTGCAGAAATATTTATAGTTACCTACTAGTGTGCAACAGTTTGTTCCTTCTGTGAATGACTGTTGATTCAAACAGAACCGTGTCTACCAGCACAGTTAATACTGTTCGTTAAGAACTTAACCTCTACTTTGTTTCCTTAAAGGCTCAAACCAACTTGTACTGAAGCCTCTAATTTCATTAGTAAGAGAAGATTGAAAGTAATAAAAAACAAAATGATACCCCTAAAACTATAGTGAAAAACTTTCATCATCTGTGAGCTAGAAAGTTCTCCCATGAAGCAAGGAAAATACTCTGAAAAGTACTTTGTGTTATATAAGTTCAGGGAGATAAAATTTAATGTTTTTATATTGTGGGGGGAAAAACAAGGTTGATTTGAGAATGCTTGAATTTGGCATGTAAATAAGGTCACTGAGTATTTACTTGTCTAATATAATTGGAAATAATTTTTCTATGAATCAAGCATACTTAAAACTTTTAGAAGCTGGCTCATCTTAAAGACATTCCACAAACGAAATTCATTCCACTTGCAGGTGAGCTTCCACACTGGTATACAAATTTTCAGTTGTTTTGAAAACTTTTCACCGTTGTTGGTGCCATCCATACTTTGTCCTGTCAGCAAGTTTTATGCCCTTCATAGTACCTTTCACTATCTTATTTTTTTAACAAGCAAATATTAAATTGCCTTGTTTATATTCATTTATGTATTTAGGTGTAAAGCATTTTTAGAAGTGCCTAATATAAAAGCTGAATATCACAAAGTACAAACTTGGGTATGTAAGAAAGGGTATTATTATCCCTCTTTGATAAAGTACTTCTGGAAAAGCATAGCTGATGTCTCTGAATCATAATTTAGCCTCAACTTCCCTGATAGTTTATAAAAGCCCTTTCTGTGGAGTCAGTGGACAAATGAATCCTGGACAGTATAGGGCTTCTCTAGTCAAAGCATCTGACAGGTCTGTAGCATGGGCCAGATTCTTACAGGATATTCAGAAGGAACATGGTCAGGGCAATGGGCTGTTCTGTATTTTTGGCTTCTAAATTCTTCATGGTCAACTTCCAGCTCTCAGAAATAGGTCAAAGCAGAGTTTTTCTTTGAGTTAAAATGAGGGTGTTTAGCTGATCGAGGAAGTAGGGCATAGAAGGGAGGACAGGAACTTCATTAGCATGTGGCCCAAGCAAATCTTGTACAAAAATGAGGCTGGGAAAGACTTACCTTTGCATTGTCAGGTTAAAGGCCAAAGCAGTAGCAAAGCCATCATGTTGTTCACAATCCTTCCTCAAGATGCTGTCTCTTGAGTCATGCTTCTCCAGTCTGGATGGGCTTCTTTCTCTGTCAGGTACATAGCCGTCCCTGGTATTTCCCATCACCGTTACCCTGGGGATTTGCTTTGCTTCTCTCCTGTTGCTTTTATTCTAGCTCCCTTTGTGTTTTGATAGAGCAATTTTTCTCAGGAATGGTACATGGGATACAATCTTTCTGAGACAGTACATGTCTGAGAAATATCTTTATTCCATTTTTACATTTGGTTGTTAATTTGTGGGCAGTGATGCCTCAGCTAAGACCTGAGGAATAAAATGGGCAAGTAAAGTGGAGCCAGAATGGCGCATGTGAAAAGAACTGGAGTTGAGAGACTGGCATTTGAGGAACTCAGAGCCATCTAGCCTGGCTAAATATAAGGAGTGAGAAACAGAGTAATAAATGAATCTGGAGAGCTATACAGGGACCAGGTCATGTAGAGAGAGTCTTGTATATAGTGTCTTCAAGCTATTTTAGTTGGTTTTCTCCAAGATGATTTATATTTATTAAGAAAAATTGAGGGGCAGCAGCCTTTAACAACTGCAAACTCTATGATTGGGTTGAGTTAGATAATGCAAACTAGAAGATACGATTATCCTTTGCCTAAATAAAATCTATTTGCAGAAATATTTATAGTTACCTACTAGTGTGCAACAGTTTGTTCCTTCTGTGAATGACTGTTGATTCAAACAGAACCGTGTCTACCAGCACAGTTAATACTGTTCGTTAAGAACTTAACCTCTACTTTGTTTCCTTAAAGGCTCAAACCAACTTGTACTGAAGCCTCTAATTTCATTAGTAAGAGAAGATTGAAAGTAATAAAAAACAAAATGATACCCCTAAAACTATAGTGAAAAACTTTCATCATCTGTGAGCTAGAAAGTTCTCCCATGAAGCAAGGAAAATACTCTGAAAAGTACTTTGTGTTATATAAGTTCAGGGAGATAAAATTTAATGTTTTTATATTGTGGGGGGAAAAACAAGGTTGATTTGAGAATGCTTGAATTTGGCATGTAAATAAGGTCACTGAGTATTTACTTGTCTAATATAATTGGAAATAATTTTTCTATGAATCAAGCATACTTAAAACTTTTAGAAGCTGGCTCATCTTAAAGACATTCCACAAACGAAATTCATTCCACTTGCAGGTGAGCTTCCACACTGGTATACAAATTTTCAGTTGTTTTGAAAACTTTTCACCGTTGTTGGTGCCATCCATACTTTGTCCTGTCAGCAAGTTTTATGCCCTTCATAGTACCTTTCACTATCTTATTTTTTTAACAAGCAAATATTAAATTGCCTTGTTTATATTCATTTATGTATTTAGGTGTAAAGCATTTTTAGAAGTGCCTAATATAAAAGCTGAATATCACAAAGTACAAACTTGGGTATGTAAGAAAGGGTATTATTATCCCTCTTTGATAAAGTACTTCTGGAAAAGCATAGCTGATGTCTCTGAATCATAATTTAGCCTCAACTTCCCTGATAGTTTATAAAAGCCCTTTCTGTGGAGTCAGTGGACAAATGAATCCTGGACAGTATAGGGCTTCTCTAGTCAAAGCATCTGACAGGTCTGTAGCATGGGCCAGATTCTTACAGGATATTCAGAAGGAACATGGTCAGGGCAATGGGCTGTTCTGTATTTTTGGCTTCTAAATTCTTCATGGTCAACTTCCAGCTCTCAGAAATAGGTCAAAGCAGAGTTTTTCTTTGAGTTAAAATGAGGGTGTTTAGCTGATCGAGGAAGTAGGGCATAGAAGGGAGGACAGGAACTTCATTAGCATGTGGCCCAAGCAAATCTTGTACAAAAATGAGGCTGGGAAAGACTTACCTTTGCATTGTCAGGTTAAAGGCCAAAGCAGTAGCAAAGCCATCATGTTGTTCACAATCCTTCCTCAAGATGCTGTCTCTTGAGTCATGCTTCTCCAGTCTGGATGGGCTTCTTTCTCTGTCAGGTACATAGCCGTCCCTGGTATTTCCCATCACCGTTACCCTGGGGATTTGCTTTGCTTCTCTCCTGTTGCTTTTATTCTAGCTCCCTTTGTGTTTTGATAGAGCAATTTTTCTCAGGAATGGTACATGGGATACAATCTTTCTGAGACAGTACATGTCTGAGAAATATCTTTATTCCATTTTTACATTTGGTTGTTAATTTGCTTGGGCAAAGGATGTTAGGCTTAAAATTATTTGCTTTCATAATTTTGAAGGCAGGTTCAATTGTCCTCTAGCTTCCAATGTTGCTCTGAGAAGGCCAAACCCATTCTGATTCTTGATCCTTGTATGACCTTTGCTCTCTCTCTACTGCTGTAGAATCAAGCTAGTAGATTCTTCCTTCCTTCCTTCCCTTTTTTTTTTGACTGGGGTTCTTTAGGGTTCTGAGGTTCACAGTGATGCATCTTGGTGTGGATCGATCATCATCCATTGTTCTGGGCCCATGCCCGTATTTACTGGACTGTGATTTCCTAAAAGATGTCCTTCCTACAATGTTGCCTGGCTTGAGTATGGTAGGCATTCAATAAATCATATTGAAAGAGTGAGACA